CATAAATGTTTGAAAACATTAAAGATTAGAATAAACAATGGTATAGTTAAGGCAAAAAAATGAGCTATGAAATGTCCCAGAGCCATGAATAAAAAAATTAGTAAAGACATAAAATACTACTGACAGAAGAAATAACTAATAAAGTCTCCCAGTATTTGAATTCAATCTTCTTAAAAAATTTGGTTATTTTCAGGACTTCAATGATCAGTTCATAACAATTAGCAAGAACAATTGTTTCTAAAAAATGTAGTATTCTCAAGACAATGCTGTGACTGTATTTGTTTCTCATTTGATATTTATTATGGAAATTTTTAACTTAAATTTGTGAGTATGATATTGTGAAAAAGTTGAGGATTACTTTTTAATATATTAGAAGCAATCAAACTGCAATTGAAAAGGTCAAAATACTGCTAGCCCTATTAAGAAAACTTAAAAGTTATTAAATCTTAGAGCAAGAAATTTTATGATGAAAAATTTTTAAAAGGGAAGCCAAGTTAGTGATGATTCCTCAAAATCTAGCATTAATGGCCTCTTGTTCTTTAGCATTTAAAGTACCAATTTCCACAGTTTCTGACAAAATAGAAATATCTTCATTTACTGGTTCTTCCTATATAACTAAGAACCCTAAATATCAAACATAAAATAACTATCAGAAGCCTCTGAAAAACTGGAGAGCAGAAAGAAATACAAGTGGTGATTTCAGGGCCTAGGAATGTCACACATTTCCACTTCCCTTAATAATCCAGAGACAGTTCTCAATAAGACAGCCATCCGAAGGTGCCAATAAATACTCGAAGGGAAAAGTCTCCAGGGAAGCCTCCTCTTTCCTGACAGATGATGAAGAAAATGGCAGCCTCCCAAGACAGAACACTCTCAGAAAGTAACTCTTCTACTCAAAATGAATACAAAAATGGGGTTCTCCACCACCCACACATGAGAAGAGTCACTTTAAAAATCCCACATTGTATCATAGCTAGTAATATTGAAGTTCTCCAAGCCAGCTGCTGGGGTGGTTTCAATGGGTGAACTGTGCAGTGCTGAGTTTTGGTACCTTCTAAGCAGTAACAAGCTAAATCTTTGGAATCAGTGGAACCCATGGAGACACTGCTCTCATCAAGTTTCAGTAAAAGCAGAGGAAGTCTTGTACGGCCAGGACTTTTGCCAGTACTTGGGTGTAACAAACAATGTTATTGGTTCAGCAGAGTGTGTGTGTGTGTGTGACACTTGTCAAGTGCAGGACAGGGTGCTGGCAGCAGAGGTCTGGAGGGTCAGCCAGAACACCCACATCTGGTTCACAGTGAAAAGAAACTCTTAACTGGCCAATGGATGTTGATGGAGACTATCATGCCAATAGAGACTACCAGGAAGATAGGAACTTAAGCTGCCGCCTGGAAGTAATTACTATCTAGAGTCCTAAAACATAGTGGCCAACACATCCAGATGTCAATAGAAAACCAATTATCATACCAAGAACCAAGATCACAAACCCAGTAAGAAATGACATTCATGATGCACTGACACCTCTGTAACAACATCACAGTTATTTGATGAGCAATTCAAAGCAGTCAGAGGATACATGCTGCAACAGAAAGTCACAAACATGAGAAGATGAACACATGCTTGGCAAAGGATTTAAACAGAAAGAAATTAAAAGTCAAATGGAAATTGAAAGGCCCAAAGATTAAATAACTCAAGTGAAAAAACTCATTGGATCTCTATACAGGAGAGAATAAGGGGAAATATAAGTAATCAAGATGAAAAGCTCTAGAAATTACACAGTTTGTGCAAGAGATAAATTAAATTGAAAAAAAAAAGAAATAGAGTCTCAAAGGCCCATAAGAAGATAACAGAAACTCTATCTCCTATGTGTGCCACATAATCTTACATGGGGATAACAAAGAGAAACTGAAAAAAAATTCAAATAAATAGGTGAAAAAATCCGGAATCAAGAAAGTTAGTGTACCCCAAAACAGGATAAGAATAAATCTAAACAAATACATGACCAAAAGTACCATGAGTAAAACTAAAAACAGACTGTCCTGAAGTTACAAGAAAGAATCGCTTCATCACAACAAATAAGATGTAAACAAGCAGGAACAGTGTGAATGATGACTGACTTCACATTAGAAATGTGGGAGCCAAAAGAATGCCGCTTATTTTCCACTGTGTAAAGAACTGCCAACTCAGAATTCTGTATTCAACAGAAGCACTCCCAAGAAATGGCAGGGATGAAGACATTGCCACAGAGGGGAAAAAGAATTTGCCATCAGAACACTTAGTCTATGAGAAGGAATTTAGAAGTTTTCTAAACAGAAAGGAAATTATGAAAGGATCTTAGAACCCCCAGAAGGAAGGCAGGAAGGCAGGAAGGAAGGAAGGAAGGAAGGAAGGAAGGAAGGAAGGAAGGAAGGAAGGAAGGAAGGAAGGAAGGAAACAAACTAGGAAACTGGAAATCAAAAATGAAAGTGAAAAGGGGACAGACAAAGAATTCAAGATAAAGGGTGAAGGAAATGTCCAAAATTAACTTAGGTGATAGTCACACCAGGCAGAAAGTATACTAAAATCCTTTGGATTAAGTGCTTTAAATGTTAAATTATAGTATTATATTTAGTAGTTTACAAATAAAGCTTTTTTAAAAATTCAGCTGATGAAATTCCAATCACATGGTGAAAGGGACACAAAAGCATTTTCTAAATATGCATGGGAAGTTCAAGGTCTTGATCAAGCGATGGTACTGGGGGCTGCCGAGATGGCTTAGTGGTTAACAGCACTGGCTGCTCTTCCAGAGGACCTGGGCATATGCCTAAGGGCTTATCCTATTACAGAGATTCCTGCACAGCCATGTTTATTGCTACTCTTTTTATAATAACAAATACATAGATTGTAAAAACATATGAATGCTTAGTGTTAATGTAGTATGTACATATGATAGAATTTTATTAAGTTAAAAAGAAAAGTGAAATTATGAAATTTATGGGAAAATGTATAGAATTGGAAAACATTAAAGTGATGTAATCCAGGCTCCAAATGACAAATACTGATCTCTCATATGAAGATCCTTGCCTATCTGCTAATTATTTGTATCAAGGTGGGGGCAAATATAAGTAAAAGCCAGGATAATAGGAAGAGGCCATGAGACTAGAAAAAGGGGCATTTAATGGAGGGCATGGAAAGACACAGAACAAAGTGAAAGGGGGCTATTGGGGGTGAAAGAGTACAGTGGGGAGGGGGGTGGGAGAGGAGGGAGGAAGGGGAAAGAGTCACCAACCATAATGAAATGCCTATGCAAGTCACGCTGGAAACCTAATTTGTAAGATAATTTAAAAATAAAAATGTAATATTATTTAAAAAGAAAATACAAAAAAATTATTAAAGTGATTTTTTTAATTTTTTTGTTTGCTGATTTATTGTTCTTGTTTAGATACACAGGCTTAAATAATTAAGTATTTCCATGTCACATTCTCATAGGTTTCTGTTTTGTTGACATGTTCTTGACTTTTTCTCCTCTTTTATATGTCTTACAAATCATTCTAAGAGCTGAGTTTGCCTTCTCTATTGTAGGAAATCAAAAATATTTAACCATAGAGTTTATGTAGGTATTTTTGTCTTTAAAAATGTTTCTTTAACACAGAGTTAAATTTTCTCTTGCATTTCTTGAATGCTTTTAAGAGATTTTAAGCATAGGTAGTATAAGATGAGAATTCAACTTAGCATCTCTATATACTGTAATCAATGTTGTTGCATTTATTTGTGTGGGGGTGTGGGGTATGGGCTGATGTTGTGTGCTGTGATGCATGTGTGTGTGGGGGTGAGTGCATGCCACGATGGTACATGCATGGAGGTCAGAGGATAACCTGGACTATCAGGGTTTGTCCTTCCTTCAAGGGATGACATTTAGGTTGTTAGTCTTGGCAGCAAGCACCTCACCTACTGAACCATCTCACTGGCACAGTTTAGCTTATTTTGTTTATGCCCATGCATGCACGGGAATTACTTTTAGATCTTTTCTGTTTCATTAATCATTTTTTCTATTTTCACACCGGTTATATACTACCTTATACTTATAACATTTTAATAGATTGATGTATAAAAGAACAAAAATATAAATGAGATGCCTAATCCTAATTCGAATTCCTACTGAACTGTAAGATAAAAATCATAGTTTTTTTTATTTAAAATATGTAAAGGTAAAGACTTTTATCTTAAAATTAGATGTTTTCAAATCATGTTAAATTATTGTTGTCAAATGTGAAAATTATTTTTTATTTGCCATTAACAGCATTCCTTTCCATACTTGTTCTTCATTCATACAAACAATAACCACAAATGTCTAGGGTGTCACCAACATGTTAAGTAATTAGTTTCCTTTTCATTTACCTCTTTTATTTGCTTTGGAAACAGAGTCTCACTATATAGCTGGGACTGGACTCTAATTTGCAGCAATCCATCTGCCTTAGTATCTCCTAAATGCTGGGATGATGGGCAAGAACTTATTCTTGAGAGTTATAAAAACAAAATCAAGTTTAGAACAGCAATGTTTTTCCACTGCCCTTTGCTCTATTTTCAAGATTCCAATATCTGGAATGGTCAACCTTTTTGACTACCTAAGCCTTTGCTTTCTAGTCACTAATTACCAACTGGTTGGTAGACTCAGACCTGGAAGAATTCCAGAGAATTCTAAGGCAAATATCTTTTTTGACATGGTATTACTTTGTAGACCAGGCTGGCTTCAAACTCTGTCCTTCCAAGTGCTAGGATTATAGGCATGTGTCATACCTGGTATAGACCTTATTTGATGTGTCTACTGGCTTTGTTTGAATACTTTCACATATTTGAATGAAGTGCTATCTCTTGTTATATTTTAATGGACTATCTTTAATCAAGTTCTTTCTTCTTCCATAGCTATTTTGAAAATCAAAGTAAATTATGGAAATACAAACACAGCATAAACTTAAGACATAGTCTCATGAAATATTTAAATATAGATAATTAAGACTCACCTCTATTTCTTTTCTTAGTTTTTCATGTTTCTTTTTCTCTTCTTCAATAAAATATGTTTTCTCAGCGATTGAATCTTTTACTGTCATAGTTTTATTCATTAGCTCTGAAATGTCTTCCTGAATATTTGTAAAATTTAAAATGAAAAACCATTATTTACATAAAACAAACCTGGATTTGAAAAAAAAAAAGGATACAAAGGAAAGCGGTAGCTGTGTAAATGATTCTCTGACAACAGTGCAACAGATATTTTTAATTCTCCAGCAAGGAGTGGTAGATATTTTAAGTTGGTTTTCAAAGATTAGTAAGAGGAATACAAAGATGCCCAATGTGCAATCATGAATTCAGCTTGTTTGCATAATAATATTAATCATATGAATTGATTTGGGCTAGATTCATCAGAATAGAAGCCACAGGCTAAACAGTTTTCATGAATTACATTTTCTTTTTTATTTAATGAATTACACTTTCTACAGCAAATGGATTAATTGTTCACTGTGATTTTGACCACACACACACACACACACACACACACACACACACGTATGTATGTATGTATATATATATTCACAGATGATCTACATCTCCTTTAGGCATCTGCACATTTGGGAAACTCTTATTTAACTTATATATCTGTTTGCTATATGTACTTAAGTTTTAAAAATTGTGAAAACAATTTTTGAATGTAGAACTATAGGTATTAAATTAATTTAACTATTATTTACTATATATACTTACAAAAACCAGAAAAGGATTTACTAAGTAACACTACAGACCTGTATTTGTGCTGCATATTTCCCTTGTGGATTTTGGATACTTTCCATAAGATCTTCTTTCATCGTCTTTAGGTTTTTGATGAGATCTCGTTTTTCATAGAGTTCAGTCATGAGTGAGCATTTGCTTTCTATCTCTCCTAAACTATCTTTATAGGCTTTTATTTTTGCATAATATGCATTATATTTTATCATTTGTTCCTCAAATTTTTCTTGGGCTGTTTCTATATCAAATTTAAGCTTTACACTTTCTGAATATAAGGACTTGATTTGAGCTTCCAAAAGTCCACACTGAAGTTTGGAATTCTCCATGGCAACATCTTGCTGGTGCATTTGCCTCTCTGTTTCTTTAGCTTCTGCAGCAGTAGCTACAATTTGTTTTTCAAGATCATGAAGCTCAATCTGCAATGTATTTCATAAATACATTAATGACTAATTCATTATATTCAGTGGAGAGGAAAGTCATTATTTTAATTTGTAATGCACATAAGAAGTCACAACATAAAATACATTTATAAGATATAAGAAAAATGAGTCATAATAGGAGATATGCAATAGCATAATATACACTTATTTTAGAATCGTAAAAGAGTCCCAGTGTTGTATATATATTTTTTGGAGGTGGGGTTGAGACAGGGTTTCTCGGTGGCTTCATAGGCTGTCCTGGAACTAGCTCTTGTAGACCAGGCTGGTCTCGAACTCACAGAGATCTTCCTGCCTCTGCCTCCCGAGTGTTGGGATCAAAGGTGTGCGTCACCACTGCCCGGCCCAGTGTTGTATATTTCTTACTTGCTCATTTAATTCTCAAGTCTTAAATTTATATAACTTACCATCTTATGCATAAAAGAGACATTTGGTCATTTTAAAAATGCATTTATAGGTACCAGAAGTATTCATTCAAATAAAACAGTATGGTAAAGTTTATATAGCCCAGAATTAAGTTAACCTAAAGACTAGGTTCCAGTGCCTTTACTACTTTTTAACAGTCTCTAATTACCCCATCCATACCTCTAACAGGGTCAGCTTTACTGTGCTGCCCAGGTGAGATGCAGGGTCCACTTTCCTAAGACATCTAAGAAATACAACAATAAGTACATCTAGACGATGGAGGGCTGGGAACACCTCTCTGCTGGTGGTGGGAATGTAGGTAAGTTCAGCCACTATCAGAGTCAGTTTTAGTGCTCCTCAAAATGTAAAACAGAACTGCTATGTGATCCTGCTATGACACTCAGGTTTATACAGAAAAAAAAAATACAGATTAACAGGCAACAGGAAAAAAAGTAAGGAGATGGAAGGAAGGTGAGGCACAGATGAGTTGCCAACACCCCCAACAGTTATCATCGTCATCACTACCATACAAAAGATAAAACTGAAGTTCAGATATGTTAAGTAAGAAAGTCAACAAACTCTGGAATCCTGACTTTGAACCTAGGCATGCTTGATCCTGTGGTTTATGATTTTTATTTTATCTGCTGGATCAATAAATATACCAGGCACATCTTTTTAAAAATATAAGTAGATCTAAAATTTAATAAACAGAAATGGAAGTTGGTAAGAATGTTATATCTAGCAAAGCCTTTTTCAAATTGAGAGATAAATATATTTCAAAGCAAGCACAAACCAAGGAAAATCATGACCACCGGCCCTTTACTCCTGAAGATATCTGAAGGAATACTGTATAAAGAAAAGAAAGAAAGACAATCTTAATAATGACAACACAGTGAAGAATCAATTTCAGAAGAGGGATGGCTAAACAAAGGAATCCATCATATGCAACTCAATGAACTAGTAACCCTGATACTGACATGAGGGAAAGTACAGAACAATCATCCAATCAAACAGAAAAATAACCAACAGAATTATGGGAATTAGTAAACATCTGTCTATAATAACCTTAAGTGTAAATGACTTCAACTCCCCAGTAAAAGGACATGGGTTATCTGATAAAAAAAACAACTTTCTGTTGCCTCCAGAACAAAACTTTAGTGGTAAGGACACCCACAGACTGCCAATCAAAAGATGGAAGATAATCTACCCAGCAAACAGAAACTGAAAATGAGTTGGCATATCTATTCTGGTACCTGATAAAGTAGACTTTGAGCCAAAATTATCCAGAAGAAATAAAGGAGACCACAACATATCAATAAAAGGAAAATCAATAATAAATATAAAATAATTGTAGGTATGCATACATGAAACATTGAAGCCTCTATAATAGGCATAAAATGTCAAATGGATATTACTACAGCAGTAGTGAGAGATTTCAATCTCTCTATATACATCATACAAACTAAAACATAGCACAGTTAAAGTTAAATATAAGTTAAATTATATCAAAAATCAAACAGACTAAATAAATAGAGAATAGTCCATCCTAGAGACAATAAACACACATTCTTCTCTGTGAACCTTCTCTGAATAGCCAACATTCTGGGGCACAAATTAAGTCTTACCAAATACAAAAGAATCAAAATAAGTTCCTGTATCTTATCAGGACATAGTGAAACAAAACTAAAATTTATAGAAAAATATAAAAAGAGTACAGAAATATATGGAGATTAAACTGTTTGGAATGATGAGTGAGTCTTTGGAGAAACCAGAGAAGAAATGAAAAGTTCCTTGAATTGAACCTTAGAGGGTTGAATAATGAAGGTCTCCCCATAGGCTAGGGCATTGGCACACTTGGTACACTTTTAGGGAGTTTTAAGTGGGGTGGTACAGCCTTACTCAAGGAAGTGCATCATTGAGGAAAGACTTTGAGAGTTAATAGTATCTCTCCACTTCCCATTCACCCTCTGCTTCTAGTTTTAGTTGAAGATGAGATATCTCAGCTTCCTGTTCCACTTACCTGCTGCCATCCCTCATAGTCATTGTGGGCTCTCCCTCTAGAACTATAAGCCAAAATAAACTCTTCCTTCAGTTGAAAACATCAGGTCCAGAGGCAGGTTTTATTACAGCAAAGAAAAGTAACTAATGCAGAAGTGAAAATGAACGCACAACTTACTAGAACTTTTGGGATATGGCTAAGGCAGTTCTAAGAGAAATGGCAGAGCCATCTCAACTATACATGCACATTCAGCAAATACTCGAAACACACCAAACACACTCCTCTCACAGTTCCACTGATCTCTGTAAGCTGTACTGTTTTTCACCTGGGTAGCCAAAAGCTGACCATTTTCATTTGCCTCTACATTCTATTTGTTAACAAAACTAGATGATTGGGACATCAAAATAAAATCTGAAATTTATGGATAGGATGTAGCTCAGTGGCAGGACATTTATGTAGCATGAGGATCTGGGTCCCAGTACCAATAAATTAATAAACAAACAGATAAATACATCAAATGTATTTCTGACATACCTTTATCATATATAATACAGCCTTACTTATAACTCATCTTATTTCCATTCCTGTCCCTCATCACCAGCTAGGTTCCATGTGCAAGCAGAAAAATCTTTTTCAAACATAAAGCATTTGGCATGCTTCCCTGCTCAAGAGCCTCTCATGGTGTCCTGTCACATTAATGACGCCATTTAAATCCCTGCAAGTGCTTTATAAAGCCATGTATACACTAACCCTAATCCCTATTTGCTGCCTCGCCTACTCATTTACTACAGTCTTGTTTTCCAATATCCTTCCTTCTTTTCCAACTTCGATTATGCTCAATTGTTCCTAATTAAATGGCTGATCCATCTGTCATAAAAATCCTCTGTCTTTAAGCCAGCAAGATCGGTCAGCAGCTAAAGTGCTTGCCTTGCAGGCCTGACAACATAAATTCATTTGGAAGATGACAGGCAACTCCACAAAGTTATCTTCTGACATCCATAATGCACTATAGTATGCGGGTACCTGAATTCACATGTCATACAAACATGCAATAATAACATGCAACAAGTCTTTTTCTGCCAGCTCCCAAATAACAACACTGAGAATTTTTATTAAGTTCAAAAGCTTGGCCTTTAGCTTAGGCGTATCTCAACTAGCTCTTACAACTTAAATTAACCCAGATTAATCTATATCTGTTACATACTACCCCTACTGCATCCTCCAAGTCCCCTTGAGTCTCCTGTCCCTTGATTCCTCTCCTATTCCTTTAACTCCTAAGAAATACCACCTATATTATATATCCTGCCTAGCTATTGGCCATTCAGCTCTTTATTAAACTAATCACAGCAATATATTTTCACATAGTATACAAATATGCTGCAAATATAATAAACAAAACTTGTTTAAAATCTTATGCCCACTCACATTCAGTTGTCATTATTCCTCAGGGGAGTCTTGGTTAAATCAAAACAAGAAATAATTAGTCACACCCTCCCTATTACTCTCAACATATTACCCTATCCTATTTCCTTTGCAACATATCAATCTGTAACTCTCCTTTAATTTACTTATTGTTTTCTTCCTCTATTAGAAAGCAAGAACTACAACTACAAGAACCATGTCTGCCTTCTTCATCACCATCTTCCTCTTAAGACAGTGCCTGTTACATAGAAGCTCAATAAATGTTTATGAGATGATGAACACACATATAAGAAAAGAGAACAGATGTTCTGTTTACTACAACAAGCTATCAATGATAATAGCATGTTAACTTGGTTTAGGTAGACACAACATTTCTACCAGTGAGGTCACCTCTTTTCTTTCTTAAATTAATGCAACAGACCCTTCTATTTTGTTACTATCTTTAGCATGTTTTCTTTGATCTACTTCCACCCTTAAACTAGAAATATATTGCTACCACCACCTCTCCTTTTCTCCCTTTGACCCACTGTATTAAGATACAATCAAGGTCAGTAAATTCCAAATCTTTACATGTTGAAATCTGATGGATTTTGACTTCTAAATTTTATCTATCTATCTATCTATCTATCTATCTATCTATCTATCTATCTATCTATCTATCCATCCATCCATCCATCTATCTATCTATCTATTTATCTATGTATCCATCCATCCACCTACCTATCTGTTATCATTATATGATGTGTAATGACAATGTCAGAATAAATTGAACTGTTTAGATCTAGTTGGTATTTGGAGAATTAGAAAATTGGCTGTTGGTGCTGGTAGAAAGTAGTTCAGGCATATAAGAATTCCAACATTGTTGCTTAAAGTTGCTTTGGCCATTTGTAGATTCTTTGTCTCTCTATTCAATTTTAGAATCAGCCGGTCAAAACAAAATTGAGGTAGGAGTTTTGCTTGAGATAGTTTTTACTCTATTTATAAATTTGGGAGAACTAACATTTTAATGATTAATGAAAATGGTATAGCTTTCCATTTTTTAGGTCTTTAACTTTTCTCATTCATATTACCTTGTTTAACCATTTGCCAAATTTATCTCTAATTAACTGCACAGTTTTGGCATCATCATAAATGACGTTGTTTTAAAATTTTCTGATCATCTCTTGCCCATAAATATACCTACAATATAGTTTTAAAATATTAATCTTGACATTCTATTACTTTAAAAATTCTCTTATTAATACTAATGGCCTTTTCTGAATTCTTTGGGATTTCTCTAAAGGTAACGATGCCATGAATTAACTTTTTAAGAAGTTTACTTTATCCTGCCTGGATACATTTGTTTTCTTCTTCTTTCATGGTGCACTGATTTGAATTACTGGTACAATTTTGAATGGAAATAAAAGGAAGCACCTTGCTCTTTGTTCCTGGTCACTAGAGGAAAACTTCATTTCAGCTTCAGGCATATGGTTGTTCTTACACAGATGTTGTGTCCTTTAGCCTGAGGAAATTCTTGTCCACTCCTCCTTTGCTCAGTTTTTGTCCTAAGTAGGTGTTGTATCAAGTACTTTTCATGGACCTAGAATTCTCTTTCTTTAACAAACTTTTTTATTGACTCTTTGCTTTAAAATCCATTTGGATCTTATCAATTTCAGAATAAAACACAAGTCTCTTATCACTGTAAATAGCTTCCACCATTTCTCCAAACCTTCTCTATGCTATGCCATTGTCAAAGTACTTCTAGTGCTGTGAGTACACCAATCCTACATCAAGCCTCTGTGAACTCTCTGGAATATTAGCCTCCTGACCTTGTACTCTAAAACTTGTTCCAGGTATTCAATATTCCAGCTGTCCTTTAAATCTTGACTTTGAAAGATCACTTCTTTAGTGAAAAGTCTTTCTTGTGTTAAATCTATATGGGGTTCGTGCTTCTAACAATGACGATGCCAGGTGGCATGAAATTACTTGTTTGATTTTTCTGTCTCCTTCCCTACAGGTGATGAACAACGCAAGAGTAAACACAATGTTTTGTAAAATTTTACTCAAAAATAGGCTCTCAGCATAAATAATGTCTGAAGCTTTATAAAAGGAAGTCATAAAATCTCTTTATAGAAATCTAAGACTTTGCTTTGTATTATATTCTACTTTGCAAATATATTTTAGGAGTGACAAACATCACAAAAATACATATAAACCATCAACACATTTATTACCATTATGTATCTGTGACTACATTAATACTTAATAAATGTCAAAATCAAGTCCTACTGCCCACTGTGGTCCCCAAAATGATACTTACATATAATTACAAGCTTACTCTAATAGTCACAAAACCCTTACAGCCATACCTCATTATTCTCCTCCATTTTACAAAAGAGGAGGAAAAAGCACTGGAAAATAAATTGTAGAACTAAACATGCAAACCTGGCTGTGAAATCAGGATGGTTCCATTCTGGAACCTACTCTTTTAATTTCTACAGTCTATGTAATGACACCTTTACATACATGGTTTCCTTTCTCTAGTCACATTCATACAGTGTATTATGTCTCACACAAAACCAAGATGGCCCCATCTTCCTTGCAAAATGATGAGAGAACATTATGAAGAGGAAAGAACTTAGAGCAAAGCTACTTGAGGTGGTCACTGACAACCAGTTACTCAGACTCCAGAGCTTACATGGTTTTACTAATTTACTTCAATTTATGGTTTTATGGAACAACACCATAGGATGAATTTTAAATGATTATATGTGATGAGTTGGGTTTTATGTACTTACACTATAGCTATAATGACATTGTAGATACAATGGCACTGCATGGGAGTGTGAAAAACCCCATTCGTATAGACCACTTTGGGAGAACAAAAATCTTGAGGGAATAAATATGAATTTAAAACAAACCTCTCAATACTATTATTTACTTTGTGGTAGTAGTGGTGGTACTACTGTTGGTGGTGGTGGTGGTGTGTGTGTGTGTGTGGTGTGGTGTATATGTGGTGTATGTGTGTGGTGTATGTGGTGTATTGTGGTGTATGTTTGTGTGTGTGTGTGTGTGTGTGTGTGTGTGTGTGTGTGTGTGTGTGTGCGCGCGCGCACGCGCGCATGCATGTATGCATGTACATGAATGTGAAAACTAGAGAACAGCCTCTGGTGTTGTTCCTCAAGGACCATGTATTTTGTTTTATGGGGCAGAGTCTCTCACTGGCTTTGGCCCAGGACAAACCTTTCTCCACATCCCACCATATTTGGCTTTAGTACATGGATCATCAAACTCAGATTCCCTTGCTTGTGTGGCAAGCACTTTACCAACTGAACTATTCTCCCAGTCTCTGGCTATTCTTTATAAGCTACATTTCACTAAAAATTCTGAAGAAGTTAGAGACATTTCAAAGATTATATGAAATTAGTTACCTGCAATTGGAAGAGAACTTTCTTATGTTTTTCTATTTCTGATGTTTGTGATTGTTGTCGTTTTGCAACTTGCTCTACAGCATCAGTTAATGAAGACGTGTCTTCTTTGCTCATAGCTACACAAGAGAATAAACTACTTAATAAAAATTGTGGGCATTTTAAGAAAGTCATATTTATTTCTATAAATCCATTAAAAACAATGTTTTTTTCTTATAAATAGCTAAATTTAGAATTGATAGCCCCTCTTTTTGGCCCTAAGCAAAATCAAGAATAAGGCAATAGTAATGTCATTTCAAGGTTGCTTATCTCAATGCTGTACCAGTTCTTTATAGAAGAGAGTAAATATGATTGTCTTACTTTCTTAATCCAGAACTCTCACACATGTTACAATTACAGTGCTACTATAGTAAGTGAAAACCACTTAAAGCGGATTATTTTTCACTGTAGACCAGTTTTTTAATTACTTATTTTTTGAAATTATAACTCATAAACTCCTTCAAGCCACCCTGTGTACTCCTTTACTCTTTTTCCAAATTCATGGCCTTTTAATAATTTAATTGGTATTACATGCATATGTGTATATGTATATATCATAATATATACATACACACATACATACACACACACACACAAGTACAACCCACTTGGTCTGTATAATATAATTTGTATATATGTTTTCAGGGCTGACCACTTGGTACTGGATAACCAATTGGTGTGTTCTAGTCTGGGGAAGACCCCCCTCCCACATACTCTCAGCATTTCTTAGTTGTGTAGTCCTGTTTTTTAAGTATTACATAAAGCATATAAACCTTGTATATGTCTATTCCTGATGAAATATGACTGCTTCCTCCTCTTCTAAATTGCTACCAATTTTAACACCATGGACCTTCCATTCATTTTCGTCAGTGCTGCTAATATTCCAGCACTTACTAATATTCCTCACCTTTTTTAGGAATGCCTTCATCCTTCCTTGCTTTGTCTTCTGACATTCTTTGTCTATTAGTTCCTTTCCCTGGATTAGCTGCCTTCTTTACTCCTACAAAACAATATAGATAATGTCTCTCTTTTCTTTTTTTCCTGTCAAATATTCATGATCCTAATAGTTGCTAAATACATTACAAGAATGATTAAAGACTGTTCACTATTAATATCAATAATTAAACACAATAATTAAGTAATTCAGAAAGAAAGAAAAACCATATTTAAATTTTGGTTCTTCTGCTTTTCAGCTGTCAGGAGCTTGAGGAAGTCTTTTCTTTTATCTTCAAAGTCTTTATCTGTGAAGCCTCATAGGGTCAAGGTAATAATTAAAGATATTATACTGCAATCATATATGTATACACACACATGCAATACCTGACACACACTGAGTAATTATTATGGATTAGTAGCAGGAACTTCCAGTACTGTGTTGAAATACATTTTAACCAGCACACATAAGAAATGATTCTAAGAACATTTAAAACTTTCTGTCCAGTGTTATTTTGACCAGGATAGGTCCTAAGCAGGTTTGAAAAACATATTTGTTTACCTTTTATTTAGGTGGTCAGGTGAAGAAATAAAGACCTTATTCCATCAAAACATAAAAAGAAGAAAGAGAAAGAACGGCACTAACACCAGAGTAGCATGGTGACAGATCTGAGGTCATTGCTGGTTTCAGGAAAACCAGCATCAGAGGAAATGACACAAGTCCTTATGATGAAAAAGTGGACTCAATGCCAACAAATACTGTTGAGATTAGAAGCTACCACCTCCTATGGATGAGGAAATTTCAAGTTACTTGACTAATCATTAGCAAAAACCCAAGATTTTTATAAATGTTGTAAATCTAACCTGTACTAAAGTGATTCCAAACCTTCCAAGAAAAAAAATCCTAAATGTCAAGTATATGCAAGGAAACTTCCACAGAGACATTTCAGCAATCACTGAGCTATCTTTTCTAAGGATTAAACACACCACACACAGAGAGAGAGTTACACATGCCTTCTAAACTAAAACTTAAGTGGCTGAGATGTGTTACATAAAAATAAGAAAGAAACTCAAAATTGGATTGCTTCTGAGGTGAGGAGATAGAATCCTATGCAGAAATATCTTACAAGTGGAAGAAACCCTGGAAGTTTAGCCAGCAGATTGTCAGAATTACGTGAGAAGTTACGATTCTTTCCTATATTTTCCTGTCACTTCCTTCTAATCTTACTTGGATCTTCCTTCATTCCTGATGTCTCCTTGATTCTCAGTTCATTCCCTGTTCACACCTCTGCTCTATGTCATTCCCTCATCACACAAAGATTAGTATTGTGGATTAGTATTGGTGGATCCAAACCTTATATTCTCTAGCTTAGTTGTTTCATTTTATGGGCAAAGACTTCATCCTTAATTTTACCTACCTGCCTTAAAAACGCATTCTTCATACTTAATGCTTTCAACTGACTATAGTGCTAAGTGCTTCTGTCATGCCTACTTGTACTACATGCTAAGCACTTCAGATTTTTAAGCCTTATGTATAACATTTGTAATGATAACTCTTTACGACAGACAGCGGCCTGAGTCTCGCTGCCTATGTTAGGGCCCCCAAATAACACACAGAGATTAATATTAGTTACAATGTTGCTGGCTAATGACTAGGATTTCTTATTTGCTAGCTCAGTCTTAATTATCAACCACAACTACTAATCTATATATTTTTACAAGAACTTATCTTATGGAGAATGCCAGCCTTATGTGTCCTCTCTTCCTGGGATCACATGGTGACTGCCTCTTTGCTACATTTCCCAGAATCTTCCTTCTCTCCTAGTCCCCCCTAACTTGCTTCCCTATTGGCCAACATTGCTTTATTTATCAACTATTAAGACAAACATATACACAGAAGTACTTCCCCCATCAAATATTATTCTATTCTTGGTAGTGTTCTAAGTAGTTATAGATGAACTCCTTTGACTCCATGAGGTGGATATTTACCAAAAGCTCACTGAGGTACAAATAAGATCAAGGAATTTATACAGTCAGCTATTGTGATGTGAGTTGAATTCATGTAATTTGGTACCAAATCTCATAGTTTCATAGTTTTACTATTTCAGGAAAATAGCTCCAGCACCCCAATTTGCATGATTCACTAGGGAAGCCAACTTCATTCCCTAAGTTCCTATTAGGTGACCTTATCTTCCTAGCATGTCTAATCTCTCCCCTCTGAACTAGTGCCACTTGTAAATCTGCCTAAAGCTGGACACTGGTCCCATTACACTCCATAGCCCTCCTAACTCAGGCTTTAGGAGAAGCCTTCAGACTTTCAAATCATTCTTTACCATGAAGATGTATTCCCGCTGAGCCTGGTACAATCCCTATTTGACGTAGTTTCATGCTCCAACTCATCCTTTGTGTTTCCCAGAGCTCGAGCTCCACCTTCTGCAAACTCTCCAACCTCTTTTCTGAGCTTTATCTTTACCTTTTTGCTTTAAATGAAAGGCAAGACATACTGCCTTTTCCATAATTCGCTAACTCTAGGAATGTCCTCAGAGACATTACTCTGCACATAGTCTCAAAATACTTTCCTTCTTTATCTGGCTATATGTATTAGCCAAAATCTAACCAACAGGAATTCCATCACACATTAACATGATCTCCTTCAGCTAGCAACCATTTTATAGCCAAGCCACTTGCTATCCTCTTCCCTCCTCTCATTCTTCTGGAGTCAAGCATGCTACCTTTCGAGCACTTGTGCATAGTATCTATGTCCTCCATGTTTCCACATCCAAAGGACCAAGTCAATCTTCCTGGTCACAGTATGGTGCCTCCTCTGAAACACAATACATTGTCTCTTTTGCTGGTTCTTTTTATCTTCCTTGCTTTTGATAGAGCATGCTCGTGCTTGGTCTTCACCTGCCTTTTTTCTGTCCCTCCTAATACAGTATGCCACCCAGTTCAGTGCTTTGAGATCCAGCCAGTGGCTGAGAATTCCTAAATCCACATCTCTAACCTAAACATCCTTCTTGAGTTATAGATTTAGACCAGACTGCCTACTTCATACCTCCCCTGGAATTTTGAATGGGCATTTCAATATTCAAATTAAACTCTTGGTCTCTTTGTCCCCTCCCACAGCACTACTGAACCTACTCTTTCATAGTTTTCTGTATACCCATAATTAGAAGTTCAAGGTTGTTGTTCAGAATTCAAACCCTATGTTATTATTACAGAAGCCTCCAGAAAGATGTAGAGCTTGGGCGATCTAACTAGACTTGCCAAAGATAAAGAGAGTTAACTCTTGGTGTTCATTACTCCTTTGGGAAATCCTTAAAGATATCCCACGAGCAGGATGCCCAAGGCTAGATGCTGGAATTCTTTCTGTAAAACTTACTGGTCACCTTGAAGTTATACTGGAATCCAATCTTCCCCTGACACTTCCAAATACTATGTTAGCAGGGAATCCTTCCTAATAGCTCTCCCTAAACCATGACCCTATTCTTTCATCCTGTTTCCTTGCTTTGTTCCCTCCTTGTCTCTTTTTCTTTCTCCATGTGTATACACATAGGTGGAGGCAGAGGTAGGTAGTTGTTAACGTGTATCTTCCCCGGTAACTTTCTACAACTTTTATTTTTTTGTTTTGAAATAGACTCTTGCTGAACCGGAAACTCACTGGTTTGGCTGGACTGGTTGGACTGGCTGGCCAGCATGCCACAGGGACCTTCCTGTCTCTGCCTCCTAGTGTGATATCACAGGCATATACTACTATGCCTGACTTTTTATGTGGGCTTTTCAGGAACTGACTTATTAGGTCTTTATGTATGCAAACACTTTACTGACAAGTGTTTCCAACCCTATTTTGCTAAATAGAAGTTATCACAACTGGCATCTTTTACATTTGTTCCTTTACTATATCCTTCAGCCAAAAGTTTCAAAAGGGTAGAGACCTAGAAATGCCTGGCACATATTTTAAGTTTAGACCCATAATCTATCTCTACTTCACCATATTTTGCTCCTTGAAACAGTTCTGATTGTGCCCATATTATAGTCAATATTTAAATTAAATTCTAATTCAGATACCATCTTCTTTAAAATAGGGCCCAGGCCTTGCCCCAAATGATGTGACAGACTTGATGATCCCGCATAGAAGGCCTCACCCTCCCTGGGAGCAGAAAGGGGATGGAATAGTGGGGGTCAGTGGGGGGCATGCAAGGGTGGGAGGGAGAGGGAACTAGGATTGTTATATAAAATAAGGTTGTTTCTAATCTAAATTTAAAAATATAAAAATAAAATCTTGCTTGATCTCTTTTTAGTATAATTGTTTCTCTACATACTATGCTAGATAACATTTTAAGTTCTACAGTGAGATAGAGCTCATTTTGGACATAGGTGGTATGATTTACTAACCATTGCTAGACAAAGCATTCATCAAGTTCATGACTATTCAAAAAATCGTTCTTACAATTTTCATCATTTTATTCTAATTCCCCCATGAAGGCAAATAGTATTCTACTCTTTTCGCACTCTCTCAAATATTTGATAGCATAACATAAAGAGTGAAGAACATTGGACTCATATGATAAGAAATAAATGGTATTTCTTGTTCTTTATTTCTGAATCATGAGTCAACTTCAGTTGAACTACTCTTATATAACATTTAGTTACATCAACTATTCTTGAGAAAATTGTGGGGCTTTGTGTGTGTGTGTGTGTGTGTGTGTGTGTGTGTGTGTTGTTGTTGTTGTTGTTGTTGGTGGTGGTGGTGGTGGTGGTGGTTTAGTTTTGTTTTGTTTTCTCTATCTCTATGGTGGAACCTAAAAAAGGAAAGAAAAAAAAAAAAGGAAAGAAAGAAAATAAAAGAATCTACTGCCATCTACTGATAATTCATTAGAATTACATAAATTGATACACATTTATCCACTTTTTGAAAAAGCATATTACTAGACTCCATCCAAAAGAAATTCATAAATCAAATCATTGAAAGATTTACTATAGTGGAGGCTTGGAAGATGGCTAAGTACTTGGCCTAGATATATCATGAGATGGAAGGACAGATTTCCACTATCTTTCTGTCCCTCA